GATCTAAATCTAGATCCAAAATTTCTGGATTCGAGGGGATCCAGATCCTATGTATACTTTTTAGATCCATATCCAGCTGTAGATCTGGGTGGATCCAAACCCAATGCTGAAAATTATCAGCCTAGTGATGTTGAGCCAAAGGCTACCAATACCGGCAAGAGGTAAAAGCTCACATAGGGAAGCGTAAGTTTGAGCCCCAATAATAGAAGGGTTGGGGTAAGTTAGAGGGGTGGGGTAAGTACGAGGGGTGGACTAGCCTTAAGGACTTTGTGTTGAGGAAGATTTGTTGTGCCATATTCATTTATGAACTGTTGGGACATGCCAGGCCAATCTAGTTCCTGAGATCGCAAATCTGCGAACTCATTCCTTCAATTCACTTAGAGAGATGGTTGCGATCTTAACAACAATGATCGAGATAACTTAAATTTTTTTTTTGACAATGTTATGAGTTTTTATTAGATAGGTGTTATGGGCTTTTATTTGATTGTTGCTTAAAAAGCATGAGATTACAAAGAGGTTATTAAAGCATCACTAATGAGAAGTAAATGTAGTGAAACTCCATGCTTAGCAAGACTATCCGCTGCATCATTAGCCTCACGATAAGTATGGCAGAACGAAACCCACAATCTCAGATAAGTACAAAGATCAAGTATTTTAATCCAAAGTACATGTAGGGACCAAGGGACCTTATACTCCTGCCTGCACCATTTAACAACATTCAACGAATCTCCCTTAATAAGAATGTCTCCTGAGAAGTCATTGTCTATAATAATTTCCGGTCCTCGTAAAAAGGGGTACATTTCGGCTTGATTAGCCAAGGTAGTGCCACAAGGTCAGCATAACAAAAAAAAAGAACCCTTCATGGTAATGAAGAAGGCCACCAACACCAAAAGTCCCAGGATTACAAAGAAGCTACCATAAAAAATGAGTTTGAGGCCGCCCTCCAGGGGTAAATTCCAAACCAAGTGAGGACAACCCAAGTAGGAGTAGTGGAGGCTAAATTCTTTAGGTTAACATAAATGTCAGTCTGCAACACACCACCACCTTCAGAACGGAAGAAAACCAGTCCCATAACAATTGTAAGATACGATCTTTGACCCTGTTAGAGCTCAAAGAAATCCCATAAAAAGTCCTATTGCGTTCTAGCCAAATTTGCCATATAATTGCATTTTTAATTTTTTTTCCAAATGATAACTCCTTTCTTGGGTAGACCTTGAGTAGAAAGCTAAATAATACCAGAAAGGTTTGCATCATAAAGAAAAAGATCCAACTTCAAAAAAGCGCAATGCCAAATGCTTAAATGGAAGAAAAGATAGATACTAGTTTCTTCATCATTTTTACACATAAGGCAAATGTTGGGAAGAATTTTACCCCTTTTATGCAAATTGTCAATCGTGAGGAATTTGTCTTGAAAAGCCACCCAAAGAAAGGCTTGGATTCTAACAGAAATTGGCCATTTCCAGATAGTGCAGGGCACTATTGGTCCAACTAAACCTATTAAAAAAAAACTTACCCAAAAAAAGAACCCTATCAAAAAACTCTTCGTCCATATTCTCTTGCTTGTATGCTTTGACTTATGTACATATTAGATATTTGTAATATTTACGTGTCATTATTGTTTGTGAAATGAATATGTGGAAGTCATGACCCACTCGTAGTATTTAGGTGGCTTTTAAGGTTAATGCTCTAAATAATCAAATTAAAACGCACCTAAAAATGCACTATAAAAGGTTGTTTTGATGTTGAAAAACCATTAAATCTATCATCTCGACCTTGAGATGTATAAATGTGAAAAAAATGGATTTCAAGTATGAGAAATAGTGCATCTTATAATACATTACTTGGGATGTCAAATTTTCAATATTTTCAAATGTTTCTAGATCTGATTGATCTACACTAATTTTGAAGCTTCAAATTAATTAGAGATGAAAATAGTTTTTCAAACCATCACAAATTTTTGCTACTGAGAAATCATCTTCAAACACTTGTTAAAGATACACCTTACTGTGATCGTTTAGGGCCTCAACCTTATATAAACCACACCCCTATGATAATATCACCATAATAAATAATGGTTCAGTTTTTCTCCACAAACCAACATCAATCTATTCTTAAAATTTTTCACACATCAATCTATGTTTAACCTGAGCGATTTTGGGATCTGCTACACGATGATGTTTTTTTTAATAGTTAAGGAATTTATGTCCACTCGGAGTACTCTCAAGGGCATTAATTCTACTTATGCTGTCAGTCCTACAAATACCTAGTGAAGTAATCAAGCTTATTGAAAAATATATACAAAACTTCATTTGGGGTAACATGGAGGATATCCACAGAAAGTTTCACTTGGTGAATTGGGACCGGGTTTGTATGCTATCAAAACTTGGGGGTTGGGTATCAGAACGCTTAAACTTGTAAACTAGGCGCTTCTATCCAAATGGTGGTGGAAAATCTTTTAAGGCTCTTATCATCTCTAGAAGGATGTGCTAATTGCTAAATATGCTCTCGATCAGCTCACCCACTCGATTAAAAATGTAGAGGAGGCAAATTCACCTCACAGATTTGGAAGGATATTTATAGCTACAGAAATATTATTTTTAGCAACATCAGATGCTTATTGGCAATGGAGAAAACACTCGCTTTTGGTTCAACAAATGGCTTGGTGATGCTCAACCTAATGTAAAATCTTCTACTTATCCTGACCTCTTTGTCAGAGTTGCTCAACCTGATGCAAAATTTTTAAAGTTGATTTCTCTTTCCCCCTCTAATTATATGGTCTGGAACATTGGATGCCGCTACAATAGGCTACCGGACATGGTTATTTCACAGCTTCATAATCTCCTCAAACAGCTTGAACAAGTTTACATCTCTTCTAATATCGAAGACTTGGTCGTATGGGAATCAGAAACTGACATACTTTTTTCTGTCAAATCAGTGTATAGGCTCATTTTTATGGATCTACCTCTTTGGGTTCTATTTGAAAATGACCAGTTCCAGTGAAAATCCAAGCCTTCCTATGAGTTGCATGCCAAATGAAATGTTTAACAGTAGACAACCTACATAAGAGAGATAAAATTCTTCCAAATATTTGCTTGATGTGCAAAAATGATGAAGAATCTTGCTCTCATATTTTCCTTCACTGTCCTTTTCCCTCTCGCTTATGGCTCTGGGCCTTTTCTTTATTTGGTTTTTTTCCTCATGATACCTTTGAATCTCATCAACATTATTAACCATCTTTCTGCCTTTGGATTACCAAAACAAGGAGTTGTGATTTTAAGAACTTTTAGAAGTACAATTTATGGCAGATTTGGTTAAAACATAATAGGAGAAACTTTGATGGGGTGTCTCAGAGTACTGCAAAGGTAAAAGATCTCATTTTACAATGTCTTTGGTATTGGTTTTCCTCCATGCCTGAAGGACGGGGTGCTCTTCGGACTGAAATTTATATCAATCTGAACTTTTTGGCTCATTCCTCTTCTCACTCTAGCCGTTCTCTCAAAACTTGGATTGCACCTCTAGAAGTTTGCCTCAAACTTAATTTTGATGACAGCTCATTTGAAAATCCAGGGCCTACAGATGTTGATGGGCTTCTTCGCAACAATTTTGGATCAATTCTTTTTCTTATTCGGGTCTTTATGGGTCTACAACAGCCAATTATACTAAATTGGCAGCTCTCCTTTAAAGCTTTCATATTATCATTGACGAGAGTTTCATTAGTGATATCATAATTAAAAAGGATTCCCTAAAAGTTATCAAGTGGTGTAGAAAAAAGCAAAAGATCCCTTAATCCCTATTTACTCTTTGGTTAAAAATTCAAGACCTATGTACCTGACATAATTTGAAGATAATATTCGGTCACACCATTTGCAAAGCCAATGATGTTGCTACCGAGCTTGCTAAACATTATTTCTCTTCCCTTTTCGTAAGTTTCTAACGATTTGATCCAATCTTTGTAATATCATGCTGTTAAAGCATTGCTGTAATAAGAGTTCATAACGTTTGTCAAAAAAAGAATATTTTTAAAAGTTTTTACGATGATTTTTTTCGTGGTTTGATCCAGAATGTCAATTTGGCTAGGTCCAACTAATATTGTTTTTAAAACACTAGTGGCAACTAATATTTGAAAAAATTAAAATTTGGATTGAAAATTACCTATCCAAATTGGGAATTGGAGGAGGTCGACCCATATCCTTGATAGAATCAATCTGATTAACAGGTACATGCCGAGATTTGTCAAACAACCCGGCAAATATGTCAAAGAACCAAGAGATCTAGATGGATCGCCCAATTCCCATCTATTTTATTTTTTAAATTTTAAAATAATATTTTTTTCTTGTTTAAGATAAATTCCCAAACCAGAGAATCATTCTGATCCAATTGGATCTACAATCCATATCAGTCACCGATCTAGGTATTAGAACAATGGTAGTAACTACTCTCTTTTGGTGGTGGGAACTTATCAGCAGTGGCTTACAAGTTAAACCAGAGATGCATTCAACATAACAAAAACACATCTGGTTCAGTTCGCACCATGAACACTAGCATGATTTCTGATTGAAATATAGCTAATGCTTTGGCAAATGTACAGTACATTTTCATTCTTGAGAGCAGAAGAGGCTTTAAATTAGAAGCATATGCAACACAATTCCACAGATGGAAGGACCCATACGAACCAAGCATAATTTAGTGGTTTTTTAATGTGTTAGATGAGAATGGAAACCTAGACGTCAGTTGGGGCACAAGTGGTACTACCATCAAGACCCCAACCCCATTCTCAAAACTGGTAAAGTCAGTGGGGATTTGGGCCCCTAACCTCTCTAGTGAGAATGGAGTTAGAAACCTCATCATGAGGATCAACAATACTAAATTTGCATAATGACCATTTGGCTGCCATTTATTGATTGGATTTCATTCACCCTAATAAGTTGGAAGATATCGAGCTGTCTGAAGATAAACCATCTCACCCTATATCAGAAAAGTGTTCAATTATGCATGTTATCTCAAGAAGAACATAGTATCAAGCATGCCTAAAGCACTTAGCTATATCAGAAAAAATAAAGGAAATACAACTTATTCACAAATTTGTTAGTTGAAATGTAGCTTCATAACATAATGGAAATAAAAACTGATGCAAAACACTACTTATTTTAACAGTAAGATTAAGAGCACCGTGAACAACTATATTTACAGACTGGCATATGAGCTTCAATGAGACATTCCACAATAAAATGCCAATTCTTCCCAATGTCCGTAACAGGCGCTTCCATAGAGAAGAATAAGGATTCATCACTCGATCAACAAGAACAAGAATTGAAACCATCATGTTTACACTCGTGCTTGTGATCCATCAAGCAAGGGTGTTCGGTTAGATACCCCAACTGCAATGCTGCCTTCTTTATCCTCTTCCACTTCATTTGATCTATCCACACTAGGCACAAAAATACCTGCAAAATCCAGACCAGTTGTTTTCCATGATAAAAAATGGAAACTGTGGCTTATAAATCTCATCTTCCTATTAGAATCACAGGTCCATCTCTAAGACCGACAACCTAGCAATTTATAACTTTCTTTAGACCAAGAAGCAAATTTCCTCATCCTAACTTACTACAGTCAGGAAAAAAAAAAGAAAGAAATAAACAAGAGACTTAACAAGGAAAAGCTGATGAATATCTCTTAACCATAGAAACAATCAAAGATATACCTATGCACCAAATGCCAGCCGCCAGGAATAGAATAGATGTCAGTATGAGAGCAGTCTCTCGCCAGTTGTTCACATGATCCTGCAGATATGAAGACTCATTCTAAGAAGGCTATAGAGAAATACAAGGATGAAATAATTAAAAGGATTGGTGTAACAAATGATTCCATTTAAGAACTAAAGAATTTTTGCATCTCACAATCATAAATGAAAAGATATAGAATTTAGAATCTGAATTTAAACTTGTGGAACTAGAAATACTTAGTCGAAAACAAATTTAGATCATGTGATCATTCCATTGGAAGAATTTAAGAATTTGTGCACATCATGATCATAAAATGATAATGAGTCGAATATATATTTTGAATTTCAAAATTGTGTTAAGTAAATATGGTTAGTCAAAGAACAAAATTAATTAAGATTATGCTATCCCAGTAGGGGGAGATATAGGTCAGTTTCCATGATGTCAATCACAAAAGAATATGACAGGAAAAAATAATGACTGGCAATAGAATGTGTAGTTATACACAACCCATGCATAGAAAAGCATAAACCACTAGGTTAACACCATCAGACTGGATGTCATTGGGATTCCAAGAAAAAGTAGATGAGATCCAATTGGATGGGTGTTCTATCAATTAGAATCTCAATGAATCCAATTGGACAACTGATAATGCTTTTCAAGGCACAGGCTATGTACAGTTTAAGAAAAATGGATTGCAATAAACCGTTGTGTTATTTTCTTCTGGCAGAAAATGTGTTTTGGATGAATTATATGCTCGAACCTTAAAGCAGATGTATCTTGATGAGAATAAAATAATGACATTTCTCACAGAGACGATCTTTTAAGTTGCGAGAAGCATAAAACGTATCTTGCGCATTTTTGAGATTTGGGAAGAGCTGCAAATCCCAAACAGGTAAACAATGTTGCGTAATAACATTCAGAAACTGAACTGAAACTTCGATGGAAAAAAATAAATGAAATGTAGGATAATATATTTGTTTAGGTGTGGAACACTAATGCCTAGTTGTTTGAAGAGGAACTTTGGGACTGGCACTTTTAGAAAATCCCATGTCTGGGAATGGCAATACAATAAATATAAAAAAAATGGGCAAGCTTTCTACGCTTCCCCTACAGCATAAACCTTATATGCTTCCCCTTATCCAATCGTCCATTTGAATGGAGGGTTAAGATTGCCCCAATCACAATGTCATGTCTCTAGACTATTTTATTTTTAATGTTTTTTCTATAAACTATTTTGACACCAAATTTTGGACGTCCAATCCTCTATTAAACTCACACTAGCGAAAAATATATATAAAATATTTTTAATAAAATAAAATGACCAAAATACTCCTGAAAATTTGAAGGGGCATTTTGGTCATTATATTTTATTGAAACATTATTTTTAATATTTTTTATAGGTGCACCCCAATGAGAAGATGGCACATACCAAATTTCATATTCATACAATTTGTATTAAAAAAACTAAAAATAAAATACTTTGAGACGTCGGATCTAAGATCAAACGGTGAGTGGCGCTTGTGATCAAAATTAGACGGCTGGATGGTAGGGGAAGCATAGATCTTCTATGCTGTAGGGGAGTAAGAAACCTTTCCCCAAAAAAATTATAACTGTATTGTATCATATTTAGATGCACAATAAATATATTATTGATATTTTTTTATTGGTATATATGCTACAAGTATAACTGTATTTTGTTTTTTTGATAATGAACAAGTATAACTGTATTACAAAGGGAAAATAAGTAGGAGTGTGAATTTTGAATTTCTCTTCATTATTCCTTTTGCCTCTAATTGTCCTAAAATTTCTCTAAATGCATAAGTAAAATTTTCCTAAAATCTCTCTCTAACAGAATAAGTTTAGGAATCCTACATCACATCTCTCAACATGCAAGGGAAAGTACGACTCACATCTCATGTCTTTCCTATACTTTCAAATCTCTTATTTCATTTGACATTACTTTTCTCTTCATGACTCCTTTTTCCTCCAACCATCGTAAAATTTCTCTACATGAATAGGTTAAATTTTTGTAAAATTTCTAAAAAAATAAGATTAGGATTCCAGATCATCTGTCCTCTCACATCCCATTCTCAATCTCTGTCTCTAGGCCAAATAATATAAATTTAACTCCAACTTTGACTACAACTTATTCGCTCTAATTCCTAGACTCACTCCAAAGAATAAAAGGGGAAGTAGGACTCCCATCTCATATCTTTTCTGTAATTTCAAATCTCTTACTTCAAATTGGCATTTATTTCTAAAATAAAGAAAAGTCATAACCTAAAATATTAAAGATTTGTTAGAACTAGGAAATTAGAATCCAATTTTCATATAAATTATTTAAAATTAGATAAAATCCATAATTAAAAAAATAAAAAAATAGGACTTTGTAAGACTCCCTAAGATTTTAAATTGGCATTAATTATTACCACATAACAAATTCTCATAAATCATAATTTAAAATTTTTAAAAAGCTTATGATATATTAGATATTATAAATAGCACAATTCTTAAATTGTTTTGTCGTGGTATAAATTAGTTAAAAGTAAAATGAAAGAAATTATAATTAGAAAATAAAAAATCATGATAAATTTCATAATTTGATAATAGTACAAAACATATGCCATTAACTAGTTTATTTACTTGACTATTATCATAGACAAATGTACAGTAATGTACTGAGGATATTTACCAACTATGCAGTTAACAACATCAAAAAAAAAGAGAATAAGATATTTACCTAATATTATATAACAAGTTTCTCTAATATAGTAAGTTTTAATCAAAATTATCGTTTAAGTTTTAGTAAAATCGTACATAAGTCAAACTCCTTCCACAAGTACAAAGTTCCTCGCATGCCCCCTTCATTTAAAAATTCATAAAAACCAGTAATGTCAGAGAGAAACTGAGAGACATCCAAGAGATCAAATTTGTGAGCCCCCTTGACCCACAATGTGACCAAGATTTTCTAAGCAAGTATGTACTCGTGTCTTTTACAAGAAGGTATTCACAAACTATTTTTAGTCAGCATTCAATCATGGGTCCAATTGCCCCACCTATAGATGTTATTCATAAAAAGATGGCAGGTTCAAATCCCATATTCACTACATAGTTATAAAAGCAGCTAAATTTGAGACCCAGCACTAATTTCATTAAATGTAATGTTTGAAGGATCAGATTGAATCTTCTTTGGTTTATCTTTTGGAAACTGCACTAGGATTGGTGGGGCAATCCAGAGGGTTAGGAATTGTGCTCTCATCTAACATGGGATTGTGATCAGCTTGAGATCCATCCATCTCCAAAAGTGCAGGATCACAATCCCAGAGCAGGATCACCACAAATTTTAGGCAATCCCGATAACTAAGCAATAATATAGCACAACACAATAGCATCACATTTTTCATATAAAGATAAAATGAAAGTTGGGGGTACACAAGATGCCAACATTCACTAACATGAAAATAGGAAAAATCCATATAATTAGTTCTCAAAAGACTTGTAAATTCAACTGCTTCACCAACTTAATTTGAAAAATAGCAACTTGACATCGACACTAAATGAAAAATAATCATCATCTGAGCCTTATCCCAACGGAATCCTACTCCACCATTCCGCTCTACCAAGGACCATACACATACCCATAATTAGACCATAAGTCATCATATCTTTTCTCCCTACTTCCCTCCATGTCCTTTGGTGCCTTTGCCTTGCCCTTTTAAAGCATTCCAGTTGAAATATAATAACCCCTCCTAACCAGTGTTGTTTAAATCGTCACTGCACATGACCAGTACACCTAAGTCTACTTTCCTTAATTTTATCGCCTATTGGAGCTGCCCCTAGTTCCCTTAAATGTAATCATTTCGAATTTTATCATTCCTTATTTTGCTACTTATCCATCTCAACATCCTCATCTCAGCTACACTCATTCTATAGATATGATGTTTCTTCACTGCCCAACATTCCATCCCATAAAGCATGGCTGGTCTTACAGTTGTCCTATAGAATTTCCCCTTCAATTTCTTTGGAATGCGACAACAACACCAAATTTCAAATATTGTCACTAAATTGTACACTCTAATATTATGTATTGCCCAACATCATCAGAACTAGCAAATAGAGATAAGGTCAATCAACACGGCAGTAACCAACACAACAGGGTGTGCTAGCTCCATGTTTTCCCCTTCTCATGATAATTGCATTGCTTGCTACTAGTATTAATATGCAAATCTGATCACGAATCTGATTAAGTAATATATCGTCACAGAAACTAATAAATACAAAAAAGTTATACGAAACTATGATCGTGTTCAAACACACCTGAAGAATGCCGACAAGTGGAGAGGATGGCACATCACCAAATATATGAATTGAAACAGTAGACATTGCCATTGATATTGGCCGCATGCTTGGTTTTACGCAGTGGAGACATACATAATTTACAGGGCCCTGCAAAACCAATTAAGTTGCACTGGCCAAATTACCAACTCCATAGAAACATCAATCCAGTCCATTTAGGCTCATAGGTTTCAAAATAATAATATCTGATTCATCCCTTACCCCAATGCATGAGACACGACTAACAATTTTATAGGTAACAAGATTGGAATTCAGATATCAAATTTAAAACTTTTGCAACAAAAACTAGTCCATTAATCTGATTGCAAACAAGGACTATCCCTCCCAATGGTTACATGGCATTAAGTGGTATGTCAATCATGCAATAGATGGATAATGTAGTGCATTGAAAATGAGAATTTTATAGAAGAACATAATCTCATTTAAAATCTTTCAAAAACTCCCACAATTAAGTAACAATGAATGCGTTATCTTGAAGCTTGTACATAAACCATCAATTATAACTAGAATGTTGCACATGCTGTGAACTTCTAGACTAAACCAAGACATCCAAGGATTAAATAAGCTATGATATTAATTTTATATAGAGCTGAGGCTCTAAACAATCAAATTCGAGCCTACCTCAAAAAACTTCACTAGAAGACGTTGTTTTGATGCCCAAATATCTTCAAATTGATCATATCGACATCAAGATGCATGGACATGAGCAAAAAATGGATTTCAAGTTTTGAAAATAGTGTATTTTGTAATGCAATTTTGGACCATCAATTTTAAAGATTTTCAAGTTTTCATAGATCTCTCGATCTACACTATTTTTTAAGCTTTAAACTTTATAAATAAAGATGGAAATATATTTTAAGGCTATCAAAAAGATTTCCAGTAATGAAACCACATTTCTTGACACGATTTGAAGGTAGGCTCTAATTTGATTGTTTAGAGCCAAGGCTCTATAAAAACTGCACCCTATTGATAATAATGCACCATTTAAGGTCAATAAAACACTACATTTATTTTTGAGAAAATTGGAATTGCAATTCAATCTTTATTTTTCTTTCTTTTAATAGATTTTTTGACTTTGACATATGATCACCTGCCCTTCTGTTTGGAACACTTGCCACGTGGAAAAAATAGATCTTTCAGCAAGGTTGACTCTCCGCTCATTATCACGGAGTGATATGAGTGGCTTAGAATCTGAAGATATCTAGTCTTAGGAGGATATGCCCCACAAATTTGGATCTCTTTCACTCTCTCTCTCTCTCAGCAAGGTTGACTCTCCTCTTATTATCACGGAGTGATATGAGTGGTTTGACACAGAATCTATAGATATCTAGTCTGGGCGGATATGCCCCACAAGTTTGGATCTCTCTCTCTATATCTCTCCCTCTCTCTCTCTCTGCGTACCTAATAACTTCCATCAATTACTCTCACATTTAAAAAAGATATTCTCTTCCATCAAGTACTTTCCCTTCCTCAAGGAAAATCACATATGTTTCCAATTCCTAAACCCCTTAATTTAGAAGTAACTACACCTCATCTTTATCCAAATCTAATAGTAGAAGCAAGTATACACCCCAGAATCTATCTTGGAGATCTCTTTTGAGATTGTAAATTATTGAAACCTAGCATTAGAAGGAAGATGTGTCCTGCAATCTCTCTTAAAATGGTAAACTACCCCTGGCTGTCAGTAGCAATGGGCCTTCTGTTCTAGCTCTCTGACACAATACACCCATCTTCCAGTTGAGCTCCAGGTGTCCTTCCTTTAACTCTGGCTTAACTCGCACGATTTAGATATCAAGAATAAACACTGCTGGAGTATACAAGATTCAAAACTAACGCATGGATGGAGATAGCCATAGGTATACCTTGGAAGAAACTCTCATGTTAGAACACTACCCACAGCAATTTAAGAATAATAACGAGAAGGCGCAAAAACATTGGGAATTTTTATTTTTCAAGGCACAAAGACAAAATGAATCCCTGCTAGCATACTAGGTTATTGAAACACTCAGGCAGATGTCCTATTAATATAAATAAATAAATCACAACCATGCTTCACAATCCTAAATTATAAGAGAACTATGATTCACTTGTCCAGAGCAAGTTGCATGTGCTTGAGTGTACGCAATGAATAGTGATGGCGAAGGTGGTATTCACACCTTCAAGGGCCTCAAGTCACATGCTTTCGCATTCTATACAATTGGTAGAGAAAAAACTTTCTCACTGCTAGAAACACATTTAGTGTTAGATTCAAACATTCATAAACCTAGAAATTTTATCACTAGCACTTCCAATTTAGGAAATCTGTTTCTTTTTTATTCCCCCATCCCAACTCCACAAATAGAAGGGGGGTTGTTGAAACCCCAGTTGCAAAACAACCTACTGGCCTCGCTTCCACATAAGAAGCAGGTTCGTAGCATGGGCTAGAGAGTGCGATCCAAGAACTCCCATGAAGACTTCACCCTTAATTTTCCAGTGTCTAGCCCATGTATTGGTAGCCCCGGTCTGAAAGCCTCCACAAATGTCCACCCGATTACCAGAAGAATAAGGCACAGGTTGTTTGGGTGCGTTGATAGACCTAAACAGTAAAATGAATGAGGAGATGACAGGGACACCATTCATACACACGGAATTTTTTCTGAAACAACTTCAGACATGAGAATTAACTGTCTATAAACATTCCTAAATCAAGAGGAGTATAATAATTGCCTCAATTAACTTCGTCAAAATTGTCCAGATCATCTCATCATCCCATGCATAAAGTGTAAACCAACAATTTTCTAGATAGAACTTTTGCCAAAATTACAATACCCTACAAATGTTGTTGTATAGAAAGCAGAAAATATGTTTTTGATTTGAAAGCAGGAATATCACAAAAATAACAAGACATCTAAGAAAGTTATAGCATATCACAGAAATATTCTTAGGTTAATAAATACATGTTTGGTACCTGTGTAGCAAAAATAAGCAGTTCACCAATTGAGAAGAGCACAATAAAACCATACAGTTTCGTTGACAAGAACGCAGTGAAGCAAAATATAGCTCCCAAGAAAGTTGCTCCAGAAAGAAGCTGCAGTGAGATCCAAACAAGTCACAAGCATCTCAATACACTGTAAAGCATAAAATAATGTGCTCAATGATATAGTGGTTGGTAAAGAAACTATAAGGTAGCTCTCTCCAATATCATCATCATCATCATGTATTAGTGAACCACATGGGCACCTTTATAATTTTTAGGGAAATTTATCAAATCACACCTGAGAGATCAACTATTTAACTAGGGCAGGGCCAGGGCCGGCTAGGGCTGGCCTAAGCCTAACCAACCAACCCAAAAAAAAGAAAACAAGAACAAAGTATTTGAGTGAGAGAGCCCAATAGTCAGAAGCTTGAAGGTGTTAGCCATAGAAGTGAAAGCAGTATAACTCTAGTGGGAAGTGGTTGAAAGAGCATTTAGAGAAGTTGGTATTTCTTCTTCTTCTTAGTCAAGGTCTGGTTCTTCTTCGGCTTCTTAAAGGGCTTTGTCTTTTCGGTTGAATTGGTTTTCCTCTAGTGAGAGAATTTCTAGAGAGAGAATGTTGACACATCTAAGTTTGGTGCTTCATGTTTTAGCATTTGGATTCAACTTATTTTTCCTAATTGAAGTTTCTAGTGAGAGAAATTCTAGAGAGAGAACGGTGGCAAGTGGTTTGCATGAAGGTCAGGTGTTCAAAATTTCATGATTCACTGCTATTTTTCAAGGCATAAGAAGCTTTCAATGTTTGTAGCCTCTTTACTAAAATTGAAGATTAATTTTGAGGAGCATTTGGGTAAATTTATTGACCATCCCTTTAGCTATGGTTTTTGTTAAACCCTTACCTAGTTTTTGACCTAAATGTCCTAATTATTTTTGTATCAGCAGTTTTGTCCATATCATATTTTTTTAATAAACTATAAGGCTGAGAGGTGCATGAGGTGAAGTTGTACCTCACGTTACTCTCTCCTTTCATGTCTCTCTTCTCTCTTCTTCTTCTTTTCTCTTTTCTCTTTTTTAAACTCTCTCTTTGACATTGTACTAGACTAAAATTGGCCAATCGTGGGTGTCCTTATTCTCCTTTATCTTTTTATGCTCATGGACAAGGAAATTAAACCAAGAATTATTAGTCTTGAAGCTGTGGGGATATAAATCACCTTGGTAAAATTAAATAACTCCAATTATGTTATATGGGCTCAATCTATCAAAGTATCCCTTAATACAAGCGGGAACTGAAATATTTGACAGAGGACAAGCCTAATAATTCTGATAGTAGAAATGAAGTAGATGAGGGAAAATTACATAATTATGACCTGGTTGTATACTAGTATGGAACCCCAAAACAATGCAAATGTGATGTTCGTTGATATAGCTAAGAAAATTTAGGACAATTTGAAATAAACTTATTCATTAGATAATAATATCTCTCAGGTATATGAGCTGTTTTAGACAATTTTTATGCAAATAGCATCTAGGAACTTGAAAAATTAGACTGATTAAAATATTTCTTTTATGTTTTTATTTTTTGTATTTAATAGGGAGATGCTTATGTGTAAGCGACTAGGTATTTTGCGTGTTAAAAATATTTTTGTGAAAGAAAGGAGGGAGAGTATTCTTATACTAGCTTGATTTACATCCATAGTCATTCTCCTTTTGTTACTAATTTTAATTTGTCCAAGGATCAAAAGGGAAGTGGATTTAATTTCCCACCTTCCTTTAGCATTATTTAGTATCACAACACAGTTCAAAAAGGGTTAGCAACTAGGATGGCTGGTCGTAGAAGTCACAATAGTAGGAATGCTCAACAGGATCAAATATACAAAAAAATTGACAACTTGTCGAAGATGGTTGCAAAGTTGTTGCATAAACAAAGATTGCAACAACATCCATCAAGAAAGATGAGATTTACGGTATTAGAACCATATTGTGCGAGTTTTTGCAGCGATCGACGTAAAGAAAGCACAAATCTAAGTGGGGACGATCTGATGTTATGCTTAATCACACCTATGGGGGCGGCATCGACAGGAGCCTAAATGCAAAGAAGAGTTGGGTAGCAGACCACCCTAAATTTGATATAATTGGTGTAGGGGAGTGTAGACCGAGATCAGCGTACAAACTTGTAGAAAAGAATTTACCACGCATATATCCATCCCTAGAACAAGATCATCCCAAGCTAGGAGATTGAGACCTCCAACCTAAGGAACAACTATTCTTATAACAAAACTATAACATGAGCATTACACGAATACAAAGACAAAAGTATGTGATTTCTTGACCAATGAAAACTCTAGCTTTTTCCCCAAAAAGGTTGATAGATTTGTGTCTACCTTCTAATGAAAAGAAGGTAGAAATATTTGTTGGTCACCTTACTAAAACGGGAGACATAATTGGGGATATGTCTTATATTTTTACTAATGGAAGGATAGAGGATTCTTAATCTAATGATGCAAAAAACATGTGGGAAATTAAATCCACCATCTTTTCAATCCTCAAATTAAAATCAACAACAAAAGGAGAATGACTATGGTTGTAAATCAAGCCAATATAAGAAAAAGCTCCCTTCTTTCTTCCACAAAAACATTCATCACACCAAAAATACGAAGTGTCTCACACATAAGCATCTCCCTTTGAGAAATATTTAATCAATCTACTTCTTCAACTTCCTAGATGCTATTTGCATCATACTCCCCAGGTTGGAAAAGAACTCGCCCTTTCTATTGCATCGTCATCCTTAGCTGATGGTGAAGACCTACATCCCCATGCGATTGCTCTTTGATATGCATGAGACTAAACTCCTTGCATGTGCCTATGATGGTTATCCAGTTGGCATATATGGTGGGGAACACATTGTTGATTGAGATATCAAAAACAACTTGTCCTTGCTGAAGAAGCACTACTAATTCCCACCAAAGAAGTTTGATTCATGACCAATGAAGCTTTCTCCCAAATCCGATCTTGGAAGATGTACCCTAGAAATAAACAAGCACCATCTGGCTCCAAGATTTCAACATATAATGTTGTGCTTGTTGCTCCCCAATAGGTCTGTAATATGTGCCAGAAGTCTTCGGGAATGACACTTCCAGTGGATACTTTGACATCATCATCATCAAGGTATACTAAATTGCTCATCTTGGATGTAAGGAAGAAAGGAAGTGGTTCATACATCACCTAAATCATTGGCAAATTCCAGTTGTGAATTCCAACAATGAAGAACCTAGCTGTATAAGCCATAGCACAAGCACCAAGATCTTTGGCTCACATAATCATAAGCCGTATGGAGCTTATTACAAGGCCCACAAGATTTAGACATGGATGGGCAAGAAGCTTGTACACTCACTCAAAGGCACAAGCTTCTAGACAACTTAAAGCAACCCCTCTACTGCCATCAAAGGCATAAACCAACAGCAGGAGATCAATCCAATGTGGTCGGAGGTCAAGCCATGTGGGACCCTCCCTATTAGATGATTCCAATTGTTGCCACTTTGGTCCAGTGAAATTTCAAAAGAAGACCATGCTTGCCCCAATAAAATATATGTGCATAAACCCGCCTTAATATTCAGCCCATAACCTTGAGCACCGAATACTAAATTTCTTGAGTTCAAGCATTGCACATGCTGATAACAATAGGGGAAGCAAAACTACTTGACCTAAAACCATGGCAAATCATAAGAGGAAAGTTTTTACATCACTTCCAAATATACCTACTTTGAGAAGTCCACTCAAAACAACCTCACAAAAATATTTACCGCTCCAACTTCTCAAAAAATTACAAACCAAACTCCAACTTCTCAAAAAGTCCCTCACAACTTGGAGCAAATCCCTACGTTGAAACTTTTCTCAAACAAAAAGCTCTTTGCTCAAATCCATCCAAGATCTCGATGGTGTAGAAGAGTCTAGACCCCTCACAGAGAGAAGCTAAACAGAGAACCCAAACTAAGTTGGACTACCTTTCTATCGTCAAGAAAGAATAACTTTTTTGCTACCAAAGATCCCGAGTCAAATGGTTAAAAATAGGGGACCAGAATACCGCTTTCTTTATAGCCAACTGCCGAAGAAGAGATAACTCGATATCCACTATCAAGGTGAATAATCACTATTTGGTCCAGTCCGATGAAATCGAATCCGCCATCCTTGGATACTTAAAGTCGCTCTATATAGCCCCTATGGGCCACATACCAAGGATGACCACCCTGGACTTCTTAACCCTTCCTGATCATTGGTCACGTTGGCTGGAATGACCTTTCTCTGAAGAGGAAATCTCCTGTGTCATCGACCAACTAGCCAAAGACAAAGCTCCGAGGCCGGATGGTTTCCCCATGGCCCCCTTTAAATCCTTTATGGGAACCTTTCTACCTGATCTTGTTAGCTTTTTCGAAGAATTCTACCAAAGGGGGATCTTAAACAAAGCCATCAATGCCACCTTTATCGCTCTTGTTCCCAAGAAAGAAGCGGCGGAGAAGCTAAAGGACTTTCATCCCATTAGCTTGCCCAACTCTTCATACAAGATTCTGGCCAAGGCATTTATCCATGTTGACTTTTCCTCAAATGCCTTGAGACTGCCACTGGCTTCAAAGTCAACATGGATAAATAAAAAATGATGGGGTGGGTCTGACAATTCAAGAGATCAGGGCCCTTATTCCTACTTGGGACTGTAAAGTAGAGGACTTCCCCACCACTTACCTGGGTATACCTTTGGGCTTGGGGAAGCCGAAAAAGAGACAATGGGCTCAAGTCATTGACATAGTGGATAGGCGTCTGACCGGCTGGAAAGGGAGATACCTTGCCCTGGCCGGCCGCTCAATGCTGGTGAAAGCAACACTGGCCAATGCCTCGGTCTACTTAATGTCCATCTTCCACATGCCAACCTCGGTGGCTAACAGGCTGGATCAAGAGAAAAAAACCAGACATCACCTTATCTTATGGGATAGAGTCCGACTACCCAAATCCCAAGGTGGTCTAGGAATTAGAGACCTTAGAAAACATAACTTGACTCTGCTAGGGAAATGGTGGTGGAGATTGGCCACCCAACCTAATACTCTTTGGGCATACGTCATTCGTAA